TGTAATTTACAAGGAACACATGGGCGTATCTAATAGCAGTATTTACATCATAAATACCTGGGGGACAGTGTTTAACTCCCATTGACACCTTTCTCATACACACGCACAGATATACTTCTTAGGTATATGTTAACAACTTGATATTCAATACTACTCTTAGTTATGTTGTTTTATATTTAATAAGGAAACCAAGAGATTCAAAATTTTGAGTCACAAGTCAATGATGTATTTTAAGGATAAAGTCCGATATGCGAAGCTGAGTCTCGCCCGGGCTATGAGGGGAACCCGGCCTGTGCCGACTAATGTCGACTCGCTAACAGTGTGTCAAGCTGGTGCTAACACGGGTGAGCTTAGTCCTTACCCACCGTGGTGCCCAGCCACAGCAGTAACCTCCAGGCGACAATTGCAACTTCTCGCGCCTGGGCGAGCGCAAACCGCCGACCCCTCCGATGAGAGGCCGACACGTTACCACTGTACTAGCCCGGAGGCTCTGTATTTGCCAGAATAAGAAATATATTACGTGTGACTGCGGACTTTTTGAAATATTTATTAACCTGGAAATTGGTGTTAGGTGCATTTTTAAGTTTATGTAATTACCATTAGTAACAGTAGTATCAATATCATTATTACTATTATTGTTATCATTGTCATTGTCATTGTTATTATTATTATCTTTATTGACATCGCTTTCATCATCATCATTGTTGTAATTATCATCATTCTTATTTCTGTTATATAATTATTAGTTTTATCCTAATGATTATTATTACTGTCATCATTTCTATGATTATCGTGTGTGTTCATCATCATGATTTTGATTTTTATCATTATCACTATCGTTATTGTTATCATTATGTTTGATATTAATACCAATAGTCTTATTTTTACTTATTATCATTATTATTACCATCATTATTGTATCATGTTATCATTACTATCATTATCATTATTACTGTTATCATTATTACCATCATCATTATCATTATAATTAGCATTATTATCATTATCATTGTTATAATTATTGTTGTTGTTGATATCATTATTACTATTACTATTATCATTATCATTATTGTTATTATCATCGTTATTTTTATCATTATTATCATCGTTATTTTTACTATTATTATCATTAATATTATTATTATTACTATTATCATCATCATCATTGTCATTATTATTGTTACTATTATCATCATCATCATCATCATTATCCTTATTATTATTACTGTTATTATTATCACTATTATTATTACTATTATTAGTATCATTATTATTATTACTATTATTATTATCATTATTATTATTACTATCATTATTATCATTATTATTATTACTATTATTATTATCATTATTATTATCATCGTAAATAATGACATTGCCATTATTATTTCTAGCATCATCATGACTGTTTTAATTATCATAAATCTATTATCATTACTATTTTCATTATTATCATCACCACCGTCATTATCATTTTATTATCCTCCTCATAACATCACTATTCATTGTCATTATCAACATGGTTAAAATTATCTGTAATCACAGCTGGAGAGATGTGATCATCAATTTACATACAACAGCTACATGTATCGCTATACTAAGCCAGTCGTAATATAAAGAGATGTGATGTATAGAAATAAACTAAAAGATAGAGAGATAGAGAGAAGGGGAAAGCCAGCACAACTATATGACGAAATATAAGTTATGTAGAATATGTGTGTTGCATATGTATATATATGTATATGTATGTATATGTATATATATATATATATATATATATATATATATATATATATATATATATATATATATATATATGTATATATATATGTATATACATATGTATATATATGTGTGTGTGTGTGTGTGTGTGTGTGTGTGTGTGTGTGTGTGTGTGTGTGTGTGTGTGTGTGTGTGTACACACAAGAACACACACACAGTGTAACAATATGTACAATTAAATCCTTCGTATATATACATATATATATATATATATATATATATATATATATATATATATATATATATATATATATATATATATATATATATATATATATATATATATATGTATATATATATATATATATATATATATATATATATATATATATATATATATATATATATATATATATATATATCAACTTATAATACAACAATACAGAAATTCTGAGAAAACAAACAAATTATTAAGAATACAGTAATAATCATACAATATATTAATATAGTTTAACTCGATGTAATATTTGGCTAAGAAAAGGACAATTAACAAGAGCATAAATAAATGATACAAAAGAATAACTATATTTTTTTAGTTTTTTAGACTTTAAGGAAAACAAGATGTATAACTATAATTTTTTTAATCACATTTTAGAGATTTTAAAAATTCATAGATATTAAATAAATTAATATAAATTAATTGCTCACCTGCAAGGATTGAGGTTAAAATGTTATTAAACTTTTCCTAGGGTTGATTACCATCAAATATATATATATATATATATATATATATATATATATATATATATATATATATATATATATATATATAAATTGTGTTAAGCAGTCTAAGGAATGTTCATAATTAAGTATTTATAGCGTAAAATAGTCTACCGCTTCCCCGCCCACTGTGTTCTCTTTGTTTATGCTCGAAAAAATTAAGCGTAATTCAAATGTTTAATAACATTTTAACCTTTTCATTCATTGAAGTTAAGCATTTCATTTATACTTGTCTATTTTATATCTGTGAATTCTTAAAATTCCTGAAATATACATTTACACAATGTTCATGATTATGTCGAGGCATCATACCATGGCTTATGATACAAACCTCCTTATATGAATATATATGTATGTGTGTGTGCATGTGTGTGTGTGTGTGTGTGTTTGTGTGTGTGTGTGTGTTCTCATCACTATGTATACATATATATTACATATATGTAAACAATATCCAACAAGGCCAGATGGTTCACACCTTTGTCCCGAGGCACCACAGTGGTTTGCCTTCCTATCGGGGCCCTCCTGAGATTACATCATCACAGCTTCGAACGCCTTCCACTTCTAGTTGACTTCTTATTGACTTCTAGGTGACTTACATGTCCCCTCGAGCAAGCCTTGTGAACTCGCTTCCCCCTTTGCCATAGCCGAATGAACCTGACACTCCCACGGGCGGAAGCAAGCAAGCAGAAGTATCGTTAGACGGAGAGAGAGACGACAAA